AGTAGTGTGTGTGTGTGTGTGTGTGTGTGTGTGTGTGTGTGTGTGTGTGTGTGTGTGTGTGTGTGTGTGTGTGTGTGTGTGTGAAAGAGAGAGAGAGAAAGAGTTAAACATACCCGACACTTATTTATCGTACTCACCACAATAGTAATACAATGCCAACGGCGATCCAAGTGCAGGCTCCATTCTCTCGCTGTACTGTTGTAACTATAGTATTTCTACAATTGGGACACGTAGTCTGGCACGGTGCCTCTCCGTACATGGCAGGCTGGGCTACAATAACCGTAGTCTCTGAAAAACATGTTACACTTTATTTAAAGTCATAAGTGACGTCCTTATATAGAGAAGGCCATTGTTATACAAGTTTATTGAATATATAAATATTATATCTAGATGAGACAGAGTAATTCTGTTCCAGGAAGACCACTTCTTGTACCAACAAAACATATCTTATAATTCAACGAGAGTTTAAATAACTAGAATTGGACTCGGTAAAAAGAAAATAAAGATTTATTTTGGTTATTTGTAATTAAGCTCAAAGCTATCCAATGGGGTATCTGTGCTGTGCCCAACACGGATCTATTAACACGGTTTTTAGCGGTATAAGTTCGCTGACCACTGAGAGGCGGGGGGAGGTAGAGAATAAAGAACAACTAGAATCTCTAAATACAATGAAAAAATAAATTTAGAAACGAAAGAAACGTGAAACTTAAATTCAATATTCAGTTTATAGAACTACAGAAATAAAGCACACTAAATATAGAAACGAAAGAAAGGGGAAATCTAAATTCAATATTCAGTTTATAGAGCCATAGAAATAAAGCACACTAAATATAGAAACGAAAGAAAGGGGAAATCTAAATTCAGTATTCAGTTTATAGAGCCATAGAAATAAAGCACACTAAATATAGAAACGAAAGAAAGGGGAAATCTAAATTCAGTATTCAGTTTATAGAGCCATAGAAATAAAGCACACTAAATATAGAAACGAAAGAAAGGGGAAATCTAAATTCAGTATTTAGTTTATAGAGCCTAAGAAATAAAACACACATTCACAGATACCATATGCTATCTGGCTGAAATTCTACGATGTTTTGAGCTTGATTCTATTCAAACATACATTTTAAATACTACGTCACCAGGGGAGTGCTGGGTTTTGGAGGTACTTAAAATAACGTTGATATTACTTTTATTGGATCAAAAAGTGTAGTATTATAGTCATTAAATTTTTTTTTTCTTTTATTAATTTGTTTATGTATATATTTCAAGAAGAATAAATTTGTCGAAAATAGTTCTGGTTGATCTACCCGTGAAAAGAAATTCATAAATCAATTTAAGCAGTTCGATAATTTGTGTTGAAATGAATCAGGCATAAAGTCTAATGTTCTGAAGGTTTCAAAGCTTTTTTACATCTAACATTAGGCATCATTAAATACGGTACAAACTGAACATTACAATAAAACTAGTTATACAGATTATCTATAAAACGAATATTGTTTGCAAGAATGAAGGAATAAAACGATACTTACTGTAGATTTGTTTGTTTCGAATTTTGCGCAAAGCTAAACGAAGGCTATAAGCGCTAGCCGTCCCTAATTTAGCAGTGAAAGACTAGAAGGAAGGCAGCTAGTCATCACCACCCACCGCCAACTCTTGGGCTACTCGTTTATCAACGAATAGTTGGATTGACCGTCAACTGCTGAAAGGGCGAGCATGTTTGGTGGGACGGGGATTCGAACCCGCGACCTTCAGATTGCGAGTCAAGCGCCCTAACCACCTGGCCATGCTATGAATAAAAGGTTTGAAAAGTCGTGAATCAAACTAAGGATTTGAAGTTTAATCACTTTACCGAATTCCTTACGTCATACATAAATATGAAGGTTCCATCACGTGACTGTTACCCGCCTTTAAATGATCAGTTTTACAAATATATTTTTGAAATCTACAATTATCACTGAACACAGAAAACTGACTCTTGGTTGTTTTTCAGATTAAAGCCACATAGAGCCATCTGCTGTGTCCACCGCGGGGAATCGAACCCCGGATTTTCATGGTCTAAGCCCATAAATTACCGCTGTCCCACCGGAGGACACTCGGAGTCTTACTAGAGGGATAGTGATTTATGAGTTTTGTTCATTTAGGTGTTCATTATACTTTTAGAACATCTAACCAATAATTAAGTTCATAAGTAGAGATAAAAATACATTTGTCTTGAACATCAGAATATCGACCATAATGCTTTTGGATTGATAACGAAGATAACCATACAAAGGCAATTCGCATATGGAGATAAAATGTATGGGTAATCCACTGTATGCAGACGTCGTGTCAAAGTTTACAACCAGAAAAAAAAATTATCACAAAGAAGAGGCGTATTCAAATAGCATCTCATGATGTTTCTATAACGCAATATTTTCACACAATCATTCTAATATTGTCATTTCTTATAGCGTGCTCACACTTATAATTTTTTTTTTCACGCACACACACACCAACATCGGATTAATATACTTATTCCTACCGTTTCACACACACACACACACACCAACATCGGATTAATATACTTATTCCTACTGTTTCACA